AATTCCATGAGCTGGGAAGAATCAAGAAGGGATATGAGCTTCATGTCTGGAAGGTAAGAGGAAAAAAGAAAGGAATCAGGTTAGGTGGCACAGGCTAAGGGTACAGAAGGGTATTATGGGTTTAGTTACACGGGTCCTCAAAGTCTGTGGTCCGGTACTCAATAAACACAATATACTGAAACAATGTAGAACAAAAAGCTTTGAATCACGCCCACACTTTACTAATTGGGTAACTTTGGGAGAGTCTGTAAGCTTTCTGCACCTCAGTTCTTTCATCTGGAAAAGGCAGACAATAATATATATGAGAGTTATTTTTGTGCTTAAATGAAATGACAAGTGCACATGCACCAGTGAATGCTGATTTCTCTTGTCCTTCTGTTTGGCTGGGGAATCCATCTCCTGGGCACAAAACAGCAAGGGTATTTTCTTTCTAGCCCCCTTTACCTATTTTAGCCTTGACTTTTGCAAAGCACTATGATTGCAGAATTTCAGAGCTGAAAGGCACCCTAAAGAAAAATACACAATGCATTGTAGCAGAAGAAACTCAAGCAATCAGCTAGTTCATGTCTCCCACAGTTTAGACCCAAGACAGAAAACACAGACACAGGCAAAGTTAAACCGAGAGTCGAAGGGCAGGATGTGGATGAGATAAACCAGAAGTCTCCACGTCCTCAGGTCTACTCCGGAGGCAGGGCAATTTATGTTCCTTCCTAGCTCTCAAATGAAATGCAAAGATGACTCTCAGCATCATCTCTTGATTTGTGCTGCGTGACATGGATCGTACTACCTAACGTTTATGAGCCTCGGTTTCCTTCACAAGTGAGCTTACTGCAAGAATTCAATGAGATGATGTCTGTAAAACACTCAGCACAAACAACAACGGAATTCAATAGGTACTTGTTAAATGCTGATGATCATAATTTAGCAGACTAGTAAACTGAAGGAATTGCTGATAGGAGAATCAATGATCAGTACAGCCTCCCAAGAATAATCAATGATTATTACAGCCTCCCAAGAATGGGTCTCAAGTAGACATCAGTGTCCCTACGTCCCATATGTGGAGCCCTCCTGAAGCACTTGCCCCAGGTACCTGCCACACTCTGGGACTCACACAGTTGCAGCTGACACAGAGTCAAAATAAAGCCAGTCTAGCTGGAGGTCTCCTAACCATTCTATCAGCATATACCATGCACTCTGTTTTTTGAACATGAGCACACAAAATGCTAACCTGAATTTATCCCCCAGAATCTCAAGAGACCAAATGTTCTGTGACCTCCTTGTTCTTTGGTGATACTTTTCCCCCACAGAACAATTTCCAAAATGGGTAAAGAGCACGGTAGGTGGCTCCCTAATGTTTCACAGGCAAAGCAACAGTGACTCACCAGATCCTACATCTGTGTCACCACCAAAAGCCTGATGAAGTTGAGCAACAAACAAAACTGTGTGTACACTGTAGATAACCTTTTTTTCTTCCTGCTGCCTCTTCTTCTAATTTTCTCCAGCCACATTCTGCTTTCATAATTATGCCTGGTAAAATGATGCAACCTGCCTACCTCTTAGCAAAAGCAAACATATGTTTCCAAATGTCAAACGTGAGGAGCAAAACACTTCTCCCAGAACTGTACTTGCCAGGCTGTCTCCTTGCACAAAGAGAAACCTGGTGGCCTGGGAAAAGTCACCATGGATAAATGGCCCACTGTCTGCGCCAGCAGCACATCTGTTCAGCTACATGCATAAGCTTACAACCATCACTTTCCACAATCTAGGACTGAATCTCCAGACCAGAGATTAGCTTCAACAGCGAGTAGTGATTTTTCTTTTCCAATGTTGCTTTTGCACGCTCTTGTGCAAAAGGGTGAGTGCTCCACCCTTTATTCTTGAGAGTTGGTGAAGATGTTGAATAATGCTATGGCTACTATTGATTTTGGGTGGGTTTTTTTATTTTGCTTTTTGTTGTTTTTTGTGGGGGAGTACCGGGGATCGAACTCAGGCCCTTGCACTTGCGAGGCAGGCAGCAGAACCACTGAGCCAAATCCCCAGCCCTACTCGTGATCTTTGTTTCTCACTCTTCCTGTCAGTCTTCCAACTTTTACTGATGGCAGAAGGAAGAAACCATTCAGAATAAGAGGAAAGGCCTGACAAAACGCTGAGCTTCATGTCTTCGCACTACCCTTCCTCCCTAGGAAATGAACACGTATTCCATCACACACGTGAGAATAAAAAGGGTGCCTTCGAAATGATTACTTTAAAATCTCCTGAGAATTGGTTCCACTACTGCCTGCAGAGCCGAGCCGAGGAACTGTTCTCTTATCAAGGAAATACCCACTTTCTTCCAAAAAACGATATCCTGAAATCACTCATCAGATAAGATCAACCTGACAACAGAAGTACAGGGCTCCATATCTTGCTGAAGAGGTGCACAGAGAGTGAGGCAGGGAAAAATCCCAGCACTAGAAGTCAGAAAATGTGAACCAGATTCCTAGAGCTGAAAGTTACAAACCATGAGACCCTTGGCCCTCTCCCATTTCTGAGTCTTATTCTAGTGTGTTTCTTTCTTCTTTTAATCGATTGAGACCAGCTAAGAAAAGCTATCATTTAATGAGCACCTACATGAGCTAGAGACTACATGAGCTAGAGACTATTTTCATGACTTTAATCATAACACAAATTCTTAGAGTAAGTACATATGTTTCTTCCATTTGAGAAATGAACAAAATAGAAGCTCGAGATAATGAAATGAACTGCTTAGTATCAACCAGCTATTTAGGTTACTGGAGCTGGAATCTGAAATCAGTAGGTTTCATCACAAAACATGGGCTCCTTTCACTATCAATATGCCTGCGGTGTCCTTCTCCCAGGCTACGGGAAGTAGAAAGGAGGATAATGTATGTGAAATGTACCTTATAGATATGTGGATTGAGCAACAAGAAATAATATGTATAAGGAGGAAGAACCTACAAGAATTTGCTTTCAGTCTCCCTTCCACTGCTTATTCTGACCTTATTCCGAACATTTGCCTTTTCCCCACGAGTCCTCGGTCCCTCAAGCACACTTTCAGATGTATCCCAGCCAGCTCATCACAGTGCACGCACACGGAACCAGCTGTGGAAGCGAGTGATCCCGTCTCTGCGTAAGTCTGGTGTGGGAGGAGCCCAGTGGGCGCCCTGGACTCTCCCCTTCCCTCAGACTGTATGGCACTCCCTCTCATCAACACTGCTCTGGAGGGAGCGCTGCGGGAGATGCAGGAGGCAGCCTACTAGAAAGGCTAAGCACTCAATTCAGAGAGCCCGCGAGCTAACAGCGAATAACTATGAATTACAATAAAATGAACATGAGCAGGGCAGGGATACATGAAGGGAGGTATTTAATTCTAAAACACCAATAATACAGAAAGACATGTGTGTGAGTGTGCGCGTGTGTGCACGTGCATGCGTGATTAAATAAAGCACGTTGGAGTCCAGAAGGGACTGAATTCAGCAGCATCCCTGCATAATCCCAGAGAAACACACTCCAGTTTTGTTGCTGTTTTCTGATACCAGCTGATAGAGGCTTGCTTGCCTGCAATGAGCAGGGCTGTGAGGGTCATCAGTCTACAACCTAGCTGCAACTTCCAACTTCCTCTTATCTTTTTTATTCCTCATCAAACTCAAGACATCTCTCTGTCCATAAGGAACGCCTAAGATCAGGGCAGTTCATAAGCCTGAGGCTTGACCTAAAAGCCGGGAGGAAATTCTCGTCACTAAAAAGCATCAGTTTGATATTCCAGAGGAAGGATCTATTATCCAAGTCCACATGGGGACAACAGTCAGGGAAAAACACCAAAAAAGAAAAAATTAATATAAAAAAACTGTTCCAACTCCAAAGAAGAAAATACCATCACCTTTCCAGATATAAAACAAGGTCCCTCATAGGCAATAAAACTACCTTTCTCAAACTCGGTGTCTCCAGGATCAAGATCGCTGTCCAACAACATTCACAATGGTGTCGTCTGTTTTGAACTGACCAGGTGCCAGGCCAGGCTCTCACTCCACAGAACGTGCAATCTGCATTTCCCCATTTCATTCTCAGGACTCTCAAGATCCACTGAGACCCTGAGAATCTCCATTTTGCGAATGGGGGGAAAGTATTTTAAAGGTGCGCTGACTACCCCAGTCTCGCATAACTAACACACAGAGGAGATGTAAACCAGGTGAGCCCTCCCTTTCCAGCTGGTACTGAACCCGCGGATCTGCACGGCTGGGCCTCAAGCGCTCCCCATGACGCCCAGGTTCACAATTTCGCAACCAAAGACTGGCTCTTAGAGGAGACAACCTAAGTTTGCGTGCATGTTTTTATTTTTACCCTTAACTCAGCTTCCTTGCTTCCTGCCACTACTTAAAGGGGACAGGGAGATCGAGGGAGTTCCTGGGAGTCAGCTCTTCCTGCACAGGGTCGTCTAGTGTCCCACAGGGCCAACAGCTCAGCTCCTTTTCGGGTTGAGAGACCAGAGGAGGTCACCAGCGCCTGGTTCCTCACCTCTTCCCCAACTGGGCCAAGAGCCTGTTGCACACCCCTGGTAGGAGCATCTTTCGGAAAAAGCAGGTCAGGAAAAGCGGGAGAGAGGCTGCTGGCAGCTGCACCCGCGCTGTCACAGCTGGGCCTCCGAGCGAGGTGGCACCAGTGCGCCGGCCAAGGCTCACCGACTCCTACCCAGGGCTCCTAGAGCGCTCCCGGGAAGCCGTGGCCGAGGGAGACCCGAGCAGATCGCTCCAAGACTGAGGAAGGCAGGCAACGCGCAGCCGTCCCACCACTGAGTTATTCAATCCCCAGATCAGAAACAGAATCCGGTTCCCGGGTTCGAATCCCGGCCACCGCTCTACTAGACTGAGCTATCCTGGCCGCTTGCGTCTCAGTTTTCCCTTCTGTAAAACAGGAGGATGGAAGAGAATACCTCGGAGACTCCATAGAGCCCGAGTTTCTGCGGCTGGGTGACTCGAGCCCTGGCCGCAGCGCGAACTCACCTTTCCGGGGAACCCGAGCCAGCGCAACCAGAAGGCGGGACGGGCGGAGGGTCTCCCCGAGCTGCTCCTCTCCGTGCCCTTAGCCGAAGCGCGCCCCAAGGACCCGGATCCAGGCTGTCTCGCCCTCCGAGCCTCTTACTTTCCGCCGCACTTTCTTTTTCCCCCTTCGGGGCTCCTCCCCCGGCGCCGCGCGATTGGCCGCGATCTGGCGGAGCAGACTCCAC